TTTCCCCTTTATGTTAACCCCTTCCCAGCCAGTGCCATTAGTACAGTGTACAGTATTAACACCAATCACTGTATTAATGTCACTAGCGACGTCAGTGTCAGTCTATTAGTGTGTCTCCCAACCAGTATGTGTTCCCGCCACACTATCCTAGTCACACTATAATTCATTGATCACCTCTTTTACAAGTATAGGGTCTATAGCTGCATCAATTCCAGTATATATACCATAGTTTGTAGATGCTATATGTAACGGAGGGTTAGCGGCACAGAACACACAAGGCAGGCGGCAAACACTTAAAGCTTTATTAAAACAGACAACAGTCACTTAATGGGGAGTAGTGCAGGGAGAGAGAGTCCAAAATACTTGTAATCCAACCCCAGTGGGCAAAGTTAAAGTCTTTACAGCAATTTGTAATCCAAGAGGCAGTTCATAAGCAGTCAGATAGCACAAGGAGAGCATACACTCACGCAAAGCTGATGCGATAGTCTCAGGCAGAGCTGACAGCGTTCCAGGCAGGGCTGATGTAGACTCTGGGATCCCCCTTCCTCCAATGTAGCTCAGGCAGAGCCGGGGGCCACTAGAGTCCAGCTGGACCTCTCAGTGGTTGCCCAGCAGAATGGCACACCAAGGGAGACCAGCACTAGCCTCTTAAACCTCATGAGCAGGAAGAGAGGTGGAGGGGGGTCATTAGCAGGTGACAATGAAGAGAATGGAACTACAGTAAATTAATTACTGTAAACAGAAAAGACTGGTTGGACAGGATAATTAGTGGGGGGGGAAATACATTCATAAAATTGTAAGGCACTAATTAGGGATGTATACACTAATTGAATTTGGGACCTTTTGTGGAGGGGCGAGTTAATTACAGCTAGGGGCCTTTGGCACACAGGAGTCGAATACTAATTGGAGGAAGCTCTTCCTAAATTTGGGACCTTTTGTGGAGGGGCGAGGTAATTACAGCTAGGGGCCTTTGGCACACAGAAGTCGAATACTAATTGGAGGAAGCTCTTCCTATGGCCAGGAGGGATTAATACAGGAATTAATACCTAGGGATTAATAACTGGGCTGGCAGAGAACTCATATGGTGACACTCCGGATCAGTAAGCAGAAATTGATAATTGGCTGGGCCCCTATACCGTGACACTATAACTTTTATACAAACCAATTAATAAGACCTGTAGCAGTATACACATCACCCAGATGCCCCGTTGGTAGAATAGTCATAGATTTTTGTGACAATACCAGTTATAGATACAGAGTAAATTGCACCTTGGGTCCCATTTGCCATTCAGTCCACTATTCTAAAGTACATGGGATGGCCAAAGATGAAAAAAAATTGGTGATGACATGTCCGCCCTCAGTGGGTCAGAGTCAGGACGGGTGCATGAAATGGTCAGCGATGGAAGGAAGTTGGTGAAGACATGTCTGCGCTCAGTGGGTCAGAGTCAGGACGGGTGCATGAAATGGTCAGCGATGGAAGGAAATTGGTGAAGACATCTCTGCGCTCAGTGGGTCAGAGTTAGGACGGGTACATGAAATGGTCAGCGATGGAAGGAAGTTGGTGAAGACATGTCTGCCCTCAGTGGGTCACTGTCAAAATTGCTACACGCAATGTCAGAAATAAAAGGAAGTCTGTAAGAACATGTCCTCAGTTTATGGGATGGTGGAGATGTCTGTCTTCTGTGTGTCACTATTGACAATAGGTACATGGGATAGCCAGAGACGAAGGGAAGGTTGATGAAGACTCTTTAGAGGAATGATGGGGATCTCTCACTCTAATTTATATTTGTTGCTCCAGGTGTCCCGACAAGCCATAAACTTCCTAAAAATGGTGCAGAATGAGCCACTTTTTAATGTGAAATATTTGAATGAAAGTCTTTACCAGCACACAACGATCATGTGTGAGATCGAACGCAACCGCGAGAAGCTGCGTCTCCTCGGGGAGTATCTGATGACATGTCGTAGCGGAGCTGTGCAGGAATTGAGCAACAGGTGAGCAGCTGATGTCACAGTTGGTGGAATAGGAGGCAGAAGGGAGACCAGTGGCATCCGGGGCAGATATATTTAATGACGTGGGGGAGACCCAACAAATGATGGATAAATTGATTCGACTTTTCCTATACTACTTTTTCTTTATTGTAGCCTAATATTAGTCATAAGAAAAGTGTCCACTCTGCTCCCTTGACACACTGCTGATATATGGTACGCTGTTGTACTGATACTGTCTCTATACTGATACTACCCATATACCGTGCAGTAATTGGTAGATATGGGTGGGGCAGGAGTATTGGGAATGAGCACAAATGGGTAGTTATGGATGGGAAATAGTGGTGCACCGAGATGAATATTCTGGGGCCGAAGCCGATACCGAAAATTCAGAATGCATTTAGCCAAAAGCTGAACCAAAATGTCTGCGTATGTGGGGGTGGGGAGCTCCAATTTTTTTTGCTAGTGTGTGTGTTTTTCTTCACTATAGCTCACGGAATCAGCTGTCACTTTCCCCGAGCTAAAAGAAACAAAGTTGGTGAAGAAATAAAATTGTGTTTAAAAAAAAAAAAAAAATATATATAACTTTATTTTTTTACTTATGATTTTATTGCTATCACATGGGGGACCAATAGTCCCCTATGTGATAGCATATGAGTGACAGGCCATCTTTGTAGGGGGGAGGGGAGGTAGTGTGTGCGAGGAGGGGGGCAGGAGATGGTGTGTATACAGAGAGGTTCCCTTACTGGCTGTCACTATATGTGCATGCCAGTTTTTAAATGCAAGTGCTGGCTTTTTAAAATAAAAGTAAACTTCTTTTAGCTGGGGAAAGTGACAGCTGATTCTGTGAGCTATAATGAAGAAAAAAAAAACCCGGCAATTGCATTTAAAAACCGGCACTGACCTATAGTGACAGCCAGTCACTATAGGTCAGTGCTGGTTTTTAAATGCAATTTCCGTCTTTCTATTTTTCTTTTCTTCACCAGTTTAGCTCGGTAAAGAAACTAAAAATAAACTGTTTCTTTTAGCATGGGAAAAGTGACAGCTGATTCTCTGAGCTATAATGAAGAAAAAACACAGCAATTGCATTTAAAAACTGGCACTGATGTATAGTGATAGCCAGTGACTGTATACACTGCTCCTCTCCTCCCTTTCTCTGCCAACCCCCCCCCTTCCCCCCCATCTGCAGTACACACAGTCCCCTGTATCGGCACCTGCATCGGCTAAATGTTTTTCTTTCGGCAAAGTGCCGAGTACGCCTATTTTTGGCCGATATGTTTCGGAGGCTGAAATTTTGGTGCATCCCTAGTGGGAAACGGCTATGAGAAATGTGCAGTGATAATTGGCTGGTATAGGTGGGGGAGAGGTATGGCAATCGCGTGTTAGTATATGGGTGGGGGAGGGGGAATTTTACAAGAATGAGTAACTGAGGGGTAAGGGGAGGAAGTTGGGGGTTTGTTACATGGGAGGTGTCTGGAGTGTTTTTCTCTCTGACAAACAGCCAGTCAGTTTAGTGGTTTCATGCAGCCCTTATGGACTATAAATTGCAGACCTAATACTGGCCACAAACTGTGCCGGGCTTCGCCCGCCAGGGGGGTTCTAGACATTGTATACTATATAACATGGGTTGTTAAATTTTTTTTCTTTTTTCAGTTTGGATCAACGGAACTACCTTCTGGACTGTGCTCACACATACAGCTTGCGGGACCTTAGACAGGTGCGGTATGGAAAATTTGTCTTGTCTGAGGAATAACTGCCTGGATGTCATCAGGATCACTTTTTGAATGTTGTAGATTTGGGTTGTCGGGAATTTTAGCTGAAGCTTGGTCACTGTTTGCCATTCAATAAAGGAAACCTGTGCAGGGTGATGTGTAGGCTGCAAATGTCGCTTCCTTGTCCAGCTCTCATGATGATCCTCTGGCTTCAATGTTTTTTGTGTCCCTGGCCTGGAAATTGTGCCAGTCAGGGAGAAGGTTGTGTGTCAGCCAGTAAACAGCCTACTTCCAGCAAAGTCAAACAGCATTGTCAGTGCTCAGCACCGGCCTTCAGCTTCCGTTGACGTGGCTCAATCCCATTTTTAAATTTTTTTTTTCCCATCGACTACAGGTTTGTGCGTTGTGTGGTCCATGACCTATCAGGGATTTCAAGGTGCTCTTTATGATGGCAGATTCAGGAATAACCGCACACTGTGTTGATTTTGCTGTCCGGTATATTAGTGAGCGCTTTGTAGTCAAAGGGCTGTCGGGGATATCGGGTGCTGCACTGTGTGGTGGGGTGGGGGGGCTATCAAGGATACTGGTCTGTGCTGTATAATGCAGGAGCTGTCGGGGATATCGGGGTCACACTGTGTGTTGCAGGAGCTATCAGGGATATATCGGGACACACTGGGGGGATTTACTAAATCAGGTTCACCCAGAATCTGGTGCACCTGTGAATGATAGCCAATTGGCTTGCATCCTCAGCTAGTTCAATTAAGCTTTGGCAATAAAACCTGGAATCTGATTGGTTTCTATGCAGAAGTGAGCCTGATTTTGCACTCTCCAGCTTTAGTAAACAAACTCCGATGTGTGGTATGGGAGATGTCAGGAATATCAGGGCGTGCTATGTGGTGTGTTAGCTGTCAGGGAAATTGGGTTGTACTGTGTGAGGAGGTCGCTGTCAGGGACAATGGTGTGTGGTGCAGGAGCAGTCAGGGATATCCGTGCACTGTGTGGTGAGGAGGCTGCCAGGGATATTGGTGTGTGGTGAGGGGATGTTAGGGCTCCCCATGTGTGCTCTGGGGGCTGTCGGCACTCCCTAAGTGCGGTGATGGGGCTGTAAGGTCTGCTGACGTTTGGTGTGGGGACTGTCAGCGCTCCCGATGTGAGGTGTAGAGGGCTGTTATGGCTCCTTTTGTGTGGTGTGTTGGGCACTTCTTGAAAGGCGGACATTTAAAAAATTCAAATAGCTTGCAGAGGGGCTGAGTATCGGGAGTCCTAAGTGGCAGGGACTACCTATTAAAGTGTTACTAAACCCAGGACCCTGCATTCACTGTATCTGCTCTCTCCGGACCCTGCATTCACTGTATCTGCTCTCTCCGGACCCTGCATTCACTATATCTGGTCTCCCAGGACCCTGCATTCACTATATCTGGTCTCCCCGGACCCTGCATTCACTGTATCTGCTCTCTCCGGACCCTGCATTCACTGTATCTGCTCTCTCCGGACCCTGCATTCACTATATCTGGTCTCCCAGGACCCTGCATTCACTATATCTGGTCTCCCAGGACCCTGCATTCACTATATCTGGTCTCCCAGGACCCTGCATTCACTATATCTGGTCTCCCAGGACCCTGCATTCACTATATCTGGTCTCCCAGTACCCTGCATTCACTGTATCTGCTCTCTCCGTACCCTGCATTCACTGTATCTGGTCTCCCAGGACCCTGCATTCACTATATCTGGTCTCCCAGGACCCTGCATTCACTATATCTGGTCTCCCAGGACCCTGCATTCACTATATCTGGTCTCCCCGGACCCTGCATTCACTATATCTGGTCTCCCCGGACCCTGCATTCACTATATCTGGTCTCCCCGGACCCTGCATTCACTATATCCGGTCTCCCCGGACCCTGCATTCACTATATCCGGTCTCCCCGGACCCTGCATTCACTATATCCGGTCTCCCCGGACCCTGCATTCACTATATCCGGTCTCCCCGGACCCTGCATTCACTATATCCGGTCTCCCCGGACCCTGCATTCACTATATCCGGTCTCCCCGGACCTTGCATTCACTATATCCGGTCTCCCCGGACCCTGCATTCACTATATCCGGTCTCCCCGGACCCTGCATTCACTATATCTGGTCTCCCACAGTACACAGAACATGAACGTGCAATTATTTTAGTAAATATAAACTGCTAAATACCTTTTCTCATCAGCAGTTTGAGCAATCTTGTGATTTCTATCAGTTTCCAGCAAAGCATGTTAGAGCTTGCAGGAGGAGTTTTCATTCTGCTCTAGGATGATGCAGAACCCCTGACCTTTGTCTGGACAGTGCTGCTTGGCCCTGTGCTGATCACATGCACTCTCCCAAGAAAAAAAAAAAAAAACCTCTCTAGCAGTACACACCAAACTGGGCAGGTGCAGTGTGACTCCACACAGGTTCATATCAGGAGATAAGATGGGGACAGTAGAAGAAGGGGACCCCTTAGCTTCCACAGGAGTATAACAAGCATGTTTAGTAACACTTTACGTCTGTATCAATACAGCTTCTTACCTGCGGTTAAAACTAAGGCAGCCCATAGATGAGTCCTAAATTTATTTTAAATTTTTTTTTTGTTTAACCAGTGACTCGGTGAACTGGTGTTCAAACTGACTCGGTTCCCTCATCCACACACTTGATATCGATGGGGGGAATCCTCCCCACTGTGTCTTTGTATTCTGACAACTGGAAGCCTGTCAGAATACACTGATCAGTGTTGCAGGCTATAGCCGGCAGTGCTGATTGTGTAGGTAATATCTGACAGGGCGGTTTTAAAGAAGTGTGTTGGTAGATTGACTTTCATGCAACCACAGTGCCCATACATGGATCGAAATTCAGCCAGTTCCTGTTGAGCCGACCAAATTTCGATCCATGTATGGCCGGCTTAAGATGATAATCAGAGCTGTCCCCATCTTCTAATATTATTCTTTGATCGTAAGTATCTTTTTTTTTTTTTTTTTTTTTTTTTTTTTTTTTTTTTTTTATTAATTCACCTACCAAAATGTAAAGGTCTTTTTTATAAACCTTTTTCTTAAAGCTCTGTATCCTAGGAATCTGCTATGTGGGTGAAATATTTTTGCAGATGCTGTAATGCAGTCTCCATATATCTCTGGCAGATGTGGTAATGTGTGTCTTTTTACAGATCGCTGATGGACTGTTTGAACCTTTTCTTCATTCTGCTGTTGAGTTTGCCTGCAGTCATGTCTTTCAATGTGATCTGTGCAGTCAGAGAGGATTCATCTGTCAGATATGTAACAGCAATGAGATCATCTACCCCTTCCAGTTTGACACAACCAGCAGGTGAGACGTTAGGATTCCAAATTCCCGTGTGTTATTTTGTAAAGTGTTGCGCAAACTGTTGATGCTATATAAATGTTTTCTAATAATAATATTTGTTACACCTAGGGACCGCTCCTATTTCCGCCATGGGTTGAGTAAAAATAGAATTGATGCTCAGGGGTGTGGAAATTTTTGAAAAAACGACTAGTCCAGGGACTAAATCGGGGCCCCAATCTACTTGTGCCTCATGACAATCTACTTGTCCCGATTAAAAAAAAAAAAAAAAATTTAAATCAAAAACTCATTTAACCTCCTTAGCGGTTTTCCCGAGTGTAGCTCGGGGGAAAATTTCAATACCAAGAGCGGTAACCCTGAGCTACACTCGGGCTTACCATGTGGCGTTGCTCAGGAGGTCCCTGCAGCACTTACCTTGTCCTTCGCTCCCACGATGTGTCCCCTGCAGCGTCCCCGGCCATCTCCTACGGCCGATGCCAGCATCTGGCTTCTGTGTTCCGGTCCCTGTGACGTCGGGACGTACGGGCGCCGGAACCGGCGGGAAATTTGAAATTTTTAAAAAATGTCATTTTTGCTGTCATTGCTGTTTCAATGCATTTCACATATATTTTGTCCGTACTGCTTTGTCCGGCGCCCTGCCTGCATTTTTTTCTGCCTGGAAACTTAGAAAAGTCCATGGCGTCCAAAAAGCGTCCCTTTTACGTCAAAAGCGGTTTTAGAACAGCGATAGTAAATCAGAACCACTTGCAGAATTGAGTGATAATGATTTGTGGGGGAAATTCATCATCAGACACTGAAAACGATTTTGCAACTTTGCTCAGCGATGTGCGAATTTGCCTCTGTATTTCAAATTTCAGTGTTTTTGGTTTGACTATATTATTGAATTAAATGTATTATTATTATATTATTTTTTTTATGATTATTTATTAAATTATAATTTATGGTTTCGTGTTTCAAGTTTTATCATACCCGGGATGTTTACTAGACTCTTGTTCAGACAGATTTCAGTGAGTTATTCCTAAAAATTACAGCCTACAATAAAAAACTACATATTTCCATGCAAAAAAAGGTACCGCTTTCAGCACAAAAGTTCGGAAAGAATTATACCGCTGAGGAGGTTAAATTGGAGCTGATTTTAGGAATGTCGGGCTTTTAAAAACAAAAGAGGCTTTATGGCGACTTAAGCGTGTAATATTTTTAACATTGCGCTGTATGTCTCCTCCTCCCCTCCCTGCCTCTCTCCAGCATCGCGCCCAGGGACTAGCAGGGAGGAGAGAGACCTTGAAGTGTAATGAGCACCGATTGGCTGCTTGTCAGGAAAGAGAGTGTCCAGCTTATCCTTTATCCCTTTTGCTGCCAGAGCTGTTTTTTGCATTTTTTTTTTGCACACGTTTATAAAAAAAAAAAAAAAAAATTTAGTCCAGAAGATTACATAAAACCCCCAAATATTGAATATTTTCTGAAAGAAGAGACCCTAGAGAATAAAATAGTGGTAGTTCCAATTTTTTATGTCGCATATTACCGCAATATTTCAGTAAAAAAAATACAAGCAAGTTCATTTTAGGCCACAAAAAAGGGGAATAAATTGCCTTTTTTTTTTTTTGTAAAATGTAAAAGATGAGGTTGAAGCGAGTAAATATTCAACTTTGTCAAACCTTAAATTTGTGCGCGCTCGTGAAATGGCGACGAACTTCAGTACCTTATATTTTCTATAGGTTGACACTTTTAAAGCTCCGTATACCAGTTTATCATTATGGAGGAGGTCTGGTGCTAGAATTATTGCTCTAATCCTGGCATGCGTGGCGATATGGGACATGTGTATCACAGTCGACTGTTCCATGTGTAGGCACCCCAGCGTGTGCTTTTACGTTTGTATGTGCGTATCTGTGATTGTGAGGGCCTCAAATTTTTTTTTGGGGGGGGAATGGTATGTGCTTGGGTGTAACTTTCCTTTTTTAATAATACAAAAAACCTTATGTGATTATTTTTGGTGACAGGTTCTCTTTGAGATATCCAAGGTCTAAAAGACCCTGGATGTCTCCCCTTTGCTCCACTGGGGATTGCTCTTTCCTGGGGGACCCGGAAGTGACATCATAATGTCACTTCTGAGTCAGCACAAGAACAGGAGGGGAGTGGACTTTTCTGCTTTACTCCCTCCCCTCTAGCCGACGGCTAGCAGGGCCCGCAGATGAGCAAGTGGAGCCTGGGAGACCTTACGGCGGGGGTGTGGAGAGGCTGGCACTGGGTGGAAGCAATCGGTGGCAGTGTTGCCGCCAATTGCTTCACCTCACAGGTGAGCCTTGCTGCTTGCCCGCAGCAGGGCTAAAGGTAGAAAGAAACTGCCTACCCGGCACCTAGAACTACATATCCCAGGCATCGGGCGATAGGAATGCAACATTTCTGGATGCTAGTAACTAAGACCCTTTTTGATAAATTATGGAAAATTTTGCTTGGGTCAGAGTGATTGATTACATCATCCCTGATGGCAGCTTCTAATCTGACAATTAGATCTACGTAATTATGGAGCCAGTTCTTCCTGTCCCAGGACAGGTTGTCATTCTTTGTGTTGTCCTGTAGATGGCAGTATCTGAACCCTGTCTCTTCTCTCATAGGTGTCTTGAATGTAAAGCAGTCTTCCATATTCCATGTAAGGCTCGGCAGACAGAGTGCCCGCGGTGCCTGCGGAGGAGAAGGTACCAGGATGAGGGGATGAAGTTGTGAGGCGCCTTAGTTGTTGACTGACAATTTCCTGCGGTGTGGAAGATACAGTTGCTGCTGCCTGTCACTTTATACCTGTATATAGACTGTATATTCCCTGTGTGTATGTAGTGTATAAACTCTGAAATGAAGGAAGATGTGGATATGGTGCATTATGCTAATGGGGTGGACCCTTGCTTTTCCTAGCCATGACCTGCAAGAAACACGCCGTTATATCCACAGACCCGAACTGCCTAGACAAGTTTCTCTGTGTGTCTGGTCTCCACATGTAAATACATGGTCTTCCACCACTTAAACAACCTATTCCATGTCACACCTGTGCGAACTATCCAGCATTGGATCCTTGGCCAGGCAGCAGACCCCCTCTTCCTGACTAATACAAGATCTGTCCTCCATCGGAGCCTTGGCCAGGCAGGACCCTCCTTTCCTAACTAATACAAGATCTGTCCTCCATCGGAGCCTTGGCTAGGCAGGACACCCGTTAACTAATACAAGATCTGTCCTCCATCGGAGCCTTGGCCAGGCAGGACACTCCTTTCCTAACTAATACAAGATCTGTCCTCCATCGGAGCATTGGCCAGGCAGGAGACCCCTTTCCTAACTAATACAAGATCTGTCCTCCATCGGAGCCTTGGCCAGGCAGGACACGCCCTCTTCCTGACTAATACAAGATCTGTCCTCCATCGGAGCCCTTGGCCAGTCAGGACACGCCTTTCCTAACTAATACAAGATCTGTCCTCCATCGGAGCCTTGGCTATGCAGGAGACACCTTTCCTAACTAATACAAGATCTGTCCTCCATCGGAGCCTTGGCCAGGCAGGACACTCCTTTCCTAACTAATACAAGATCTGACCTCCATCGGAGCCTTGGCCAGGCAGGAGACCCCTTTCCTAACTAATACAAGATCTGTCCTCCATCGGAGCCTTGGCCAGGCAGGACACTCCTTTCCTAACTAATACAAGATCTGTCCTCCATCAGAGCCTTGGCCAGGCAGAAGACCCCTTTCCTAACTAATACAAGAACTGTCTGCCATCTAAGTCTTGGTGCGGCTGTATACCCACTTTCTATGTAATATGATATCTGCTTTGGCCAGAGAACTGTTTGTATTAAGAAACCGATCTGTCATCAGAACCTCAGCTAGGCAGGACACCCCCTCTTCCTAATATGACAACTGTCCACCTTTG